ACACACATACATACATACATACATACATACACACACATATATATATATATATATACGCACATACATATATACATCTATATATGTATATATACATATACTGTTATAGGGCCGGGGACCCCGGACGGACCCCGAACGGAGCCCCCCACCCCCCCAAACGAGTTTCGGCCTTCCCCGGGATTTTCGGGCGGTCCCAGAGGCGCCCCAGACGGCCGCAGATACTCCCAAGAGGGGTCGACGAGCGCTCCAAGACAGCCCGAGAGCGCTCCAAGAGACCCCAAGTCCGCCCAAGACCGTTTTAAGGGGGTCCCGAGACGCCCCAGGAGGCCTCCAAAAGGCTTCCCAAGAGGGCCCCAAGAGGGAAATGTCATTGATTTCTGCATGGTGTTCACAAGTTTGTCTGGTTCTCCCTTTTTCTGGCCAACATCAGCCCGAACCGGCCCAAGAGGCTCCAAATGCCGCCCCAAGATAGCCCAAGAGGCCCCCAAAAGCCAAGAGAGTCCCAAGACAGCCCAAGAAGGCTCCAAGACGGGCCAAGAGAGCCCCAACAGCGCCCAAAGAGGCACCCAAGAGGGCCCCAATACACCGCCAGGAGAGCCCCGCGACGGCCAAAGGCGTCCAACACGCCCCGGGACGGCCCAAAAGGGCCCCGAGACGACCCAGGAGAACCCCAACAGGGCCTTAAAAAGGATCCAAAAGGGCCCCAAGACGACTCCCAGGAGGCCCCCAAACGCTACAGAACACCAGGGCTCCCAACACTGAGCTTTAATAGTGCCCCCAGAAGCCTTCCAATATTTCTGTTCCTCCCTCCTTTTTCCTCCCATATCCCTCCTTCTCTTTCCCGTTATCCTCCTGTTCCTCTTCCTATACTCTCTGCTCCTCTTCCTTTTCAGCCTCCTCCTCCTCCTCGTATGTTTCGTTCCTTCTGCTCCTCTCCTCCTCTTCCTCCTCCTCCCCCTCATCCTCCTGGTCCTCTTCATGTTCCTCTTCCCCACCCCATCAAGATTCTAGCAGAACCAGTTTCCCTCTCTCTCCCACCTCTGTTCTGCGGAGTCCTTCCGCGGCCATCTCGGCTTTTTTAACGATGTACATATCTGTATATGTCATCCCGCCTGCTTGCTCACCGTGAAGGACCATGGTAGTCTGGCCACTTTCGCCTGAGACCCTCGCACCTCTGAGTTGCGGGATGCCCGGGGCAGCTGGTCAGGCCACTACCGCCTGATATACGCATGTGTATGCGCACACATAGTTACACAGACCACTGGCATATACATTACAGACCCATACATAAATATATGTATACTAGAACCATCGCGCGCTTCGCGCGCGCTCATGTTCTAGCTAGGCTTGATAGGCTAACTAATGTAATGTCATGTTGGTCGCTTCTTGCGTCCAGGGACTCCCTTGGAGGCCCTGCTCAAGCCTCGGAATCATATAGAAGGGGAAGTGCGGAAACGCAGAAATCATGAATTTCCTTTTTGGGTATTCAGGCTTCCTGGGTTCTTTTTTGGGGAGGTGAGGGGGGGTCCGAATTGTGGTCTGCTGTGCAAGAGTAGACCGGGGGGCAAACTTGGAGAAAAAAAAAGAATTGTGGGATTGTCATGCTTTTCCATTTCCTCGGCGCTGTTCGGCGCTGTCTCTTGTTTGTGCCTCGCGGGTTTGGTTAGCCGGGCCCCTCAGGGGTGTGGGATCTTCCGGACCCCCTGGAGCTTCCGGAGGCCTCCTGGAGGCCTGGAAAGCCGCTGGAAGGGTGTCTCGGGCTGCGCGGGAGCGTGTTGGGCCGTTCTTTACGTTCTGGGAGCTCCTTGAGGTCGTTATGGGCTGTCCTTCGGCGTCGTGGGGTCTTCCCTCCGGGAAGCCAGGAGGCGCGATACCGGCCAGATGTCAGGGGATGTGTGTGACCCTCGAGTAGGAGTCCCACTCTGAAAAAAAAAGGATTTCTGGGAATATCGATGTTTAAAAAAAACATCCTCGATCTTCGAGGGTTGGAAGCGGGAAAACGTGAGAAGGCGAAACACGTTAGAACAACCATGGGAAATCAACAAGTTTACCCTCTTTGGGCTCTCTCGGGACGGCTCTCGCAGCTCTCTTGGGCTGTTCTTGGAGCCTCGTCGGGGTCTTGTTGGGGCCTCTCAGGGATCGGGGGGGTGTTGGGGGGCTCTCGGGGGTCCCGGAGGCCTCTCGGAGGTCTCTGGAAGCCTCCTGCTCCCGCTCTTGGGCCCATCTTGGGCCTGTTCTGGGGTGGTCTGTGGATGTCCTGGGCGCCTCTTCGGCAATCTTGGAGCCTTCTTGGCCCGTTTTGGGGCCGTCCTGAGGATCTCTTGGGTGGTCTTGGGAGCCTCTTCGGCGCTCTTGGACCATTGGAAGCTCGAAAACGCGAGAAGCCAAAAACATTGAAAAAACAGTGAACATCTACGATTCGGGCCTCTTCGAGCCGTCCCGTGACACCTATCAGACCTCTCTTGGGCTCTCTTGGAGGGCACCTGTGAGCCAAGAGAGCCGTCGGAAGGCTGACTTGGGCTGCTCGGGAGCGTATTGGACCATTCTTTCGAATTTTGAGGGCTTCTGGGAGGCGTCTTGGGCCCTCCTGGGACGCTGTGGAGGCTCCCCGGAAAGGCCGGGCGAGCGGTACCGGGAGCGTCCCCGAGATGTGGCGGGGAGGGACCCGGGGCCAGGGGGGGCGGTATATATTTGCATTATACAGAACCGCGCGCGCGCTTCGCGCGCGCTTGGGTTCTAGCGCATGTCATGGCGTTGCGGCGTTGTGAGCTGCGCGTGCTTTTCGGACAGGCTCATTCCATGCCTTGCCTTACCTCGTCCTCCAATACTCCTGATACGTCCTTCCTCCTTACCCCTCCAGACTCTCTCGGTTGTCCTCGCTTTTCGTTTCTCGTCTTGCTTGGGATTATGCGGGGGCTTCGAGCTGTTCAAGGCCGGCGTGGGAAGATATTCAATATGAAGTGGGCTGGTTTACAATGTACGGGTCTCTTGTGGATCTTCCTGCTGGGGCTGCCTTGAAGGCCTTGGGGCCCGCTTGAGTCCCTCTTGGGCTCTTCTTCGAAGTTGTGGGGCCGTCTCGAGCCTCGGCGCCATGTGAAGCTCTCCCGAAGCCATCCGAAGGAGACGAGCGTGAGATTTACTGAACATGGAAAAACCTGAATGGCTTTTGCGTTTGTGGTTCTCTGGGGTCATTTGGGAGGGCCTTTGGGAGTTCCACTGCGGCATCTTGTGGCCCCTGGGGGCCGCCTTGAAACATTTTGGAGCGTCTTGGACCACCCAGGGGCCATCTTGGCGGCCAGCGGGCGTCGCTTGCTCTGAATAGAAAGTGCCTGGGATGCAGCGGCCAGCGCTGCACATGAGCTGCTACCTTGGGCTGCAGCTCGCTGGATTCTGCTGCGTGAAAGGCGCTGCTACCCTGGGCTGCAGCGCAATGCAATTAAATACCCTGGCATTACCTATCCCACACTTGAACGAGAGATGGACATATGAGAACATGTTTGGTTTGCGCATGAATTTCTGTCCTGAGTCCTGAATGGATGACCATCGAACCCAAATCCAAAATTCCCAGATTCCTTGGGGCCTTCGAAAGCTCCGCGAAACCGTTGGGAAGCCGGCAGGCGCGGTACCCGCCAGATGTCAGGGGATGTGTAGGACCCCCGAGTAGGAGTCCCACTTTGATGAAAAAAAGGGAAGTCTCGGAATTCCCTTTTTCCAAAATCCTCAATCCTTGAGGATTGGAAGCGGGAAAACGTGGGAAGGCGAAAAGCATTCGAAAAAAAACACTGGGAATTAACGATTTTGCGGAGCTTTCGACTCTCTCGGGACGGCTCTCGCAGCTCTCTCGGGCTGTTCTTGGAGCCTCGTCGGGGTCTCGGTGGGGCCTCTCAGGGATCGGGTGTGTGTTGGGGGCCTCTCGGAGGTCTCTGGAAGCCTCCTGCTCCCGCTCTTGGGCCCATCTTGGGCCTGTTCTGGGGTGGTCTGTGGATGTCCTGGGCGCCTCTTCGGCAGTCTTAAAGCCTTCTTGGCCCGTCTCGGGGCCGTCCTGAGGGTCTCTTGGGTGGTCTTGTGGCGGTTTTGGGAGGCTCTTCGGCGCCCTTGGACACTGGAAATTCGAAGATGCGAGAAGCCCAAAACATTGAAAAAACAAAGAACACCTACGATGTGGGCCTCTTCGGGCCATCCCGTGACACCTATTAGACCTCTCTTTTTGGAGCGTGCATGGGGCCAGCTCTTAGAACTGGCCTACAAACCCGAAACCCGAAATACACTACAGCACCTAACGTATTTGAACATGTTTTTGTCATACATGATTTGGCATGGCTTGTATACTATGTGTTGAACAACGCACCTGTCAGCAATTATCTTTGTTACATGCGCATGCAAGCCCGATTTCTCCCATAATTCTTAGAGCCAATGGGGCAGAACGGGGACCATCAAGTCAGAAACCGAACACGCGTTGGACATCGGGGTCGGGGCACATCAAATCGCATGAGGAGGCATCGGATATCGAAGCTCATCGGGTCAAGTGGACCGATGCATGCGGCAAGACCAGGGCGGCGGCAATCCAGAGAGGAGGGCTAGAATGGGGAGACGGGGAGAAAGACAAGGAGGAGGAGGAGGAGGAGGAGGGGGGGAGAAGGAGGGGGGCGACCAGGAGCAGGATGGGGGAGGCGGCGGGGGAGGAGGAGGAGGGGGAGGACGTGAATCTGACAAGGACAGAGGGTAAGGAAACCACGTGCTCGTGCGGTTTCACTCTTCATGTCGGCGCCGTTGCCGCCCAGGCTGGGCGGCGCAAAAGCCGTGTCCACACGTGCGCAGCGACGTCGCTGCGCGGCTGAAACTGGCCTCAGGCGCCGCCGCCTGCAGCATCAGACCTCTTTGCAAACGGCACCCGCCGATTGAACTCCCTGCGGTCAGCTGCCACTGGCGAGGCCCGTCGGCCCGCACACCCTTCAGGAAAACCCCGTGAGCTCTCTCTCTTCTCCTGCAGCTCTCTTGCAATCTCACCCGCGGCTCGAGGCCGCCTTGCTGGTGCCAGCGGCGCTGGTCTTGACCTCAGTCGGCTTCTTCGCCTTCGAGGCCAGAGGCTCAAGCTGCTTGACCAGCGCCGCGGGGAGGAAGCTCTTCATCTTCTCGTCGTCGAGCAGCGCCTTCGCGTCAGCGAACTGGCTGTCTGCGCCCTTGTCCTCCACAACCTGGACTGCGATGATCACCACCATGCTCTCCTTCAACGCGTTGTGAATCGCAACCGCTTGCTCCCAGTCCGAGCTCACCGCTTCGTCGTCCTCGATCTCCGGAGTCAGCCGCCAGTCCTCATGCAACGACCTCGCGTCGTCGAGCGCCTTGCCGAGAGCGACCGTCGCTGGCTTGATGGCCTTCGGCAGCGCAGGCTTCGTGAGTGTCTTCTTCGCCATGGACGATGCGTAGGTCTTCTCGTTCACGATGCTCCTGAAGTTCGGCGCGAGCCGCTCGTCCCTGGCAGCAGCCTTCGACAAGTTCTGCACCACGGCCCTGAACAGGGCTGACTTGCACCTCGCGGCAACCGTATCTACCGAGTCCAGCCAGCGCTCCATGGTCGGCCAGTCCTGGAACCAAATCCCGTTGACCTCGCTCACGCTCATGAGCTGGATCGCAGACCTCGCAGAGGCCGCTGATGCCGACAGCAGGTCGAATACTGTCTCGTAGAACTGCTTGATTGACATGTCCTTGTCGCACACTTCCGAGGGGCTGAGGGGCTCGACCGTCGTGAAAACAGCCTCGTGTAAGTAGTGAAGGATGGCACCCGCCTCGTAGAACGAGTTGAACAACCGAACGAAGGCGTCCACGTCTACGGCTTGGACCCACACTTCCGAGTAGCCATTGATCGGCTGGAGGAGCCCCGCCACGTCCAAGTTGTTGGTGCTGCTGTTCAAGAGGTCCATGGCCATGCCACTGAGGATTCCACCGAAGGCAGCGGCGCGATGCGTCAACTTCTCAACCGACTCAAGGACCTGCTTCCTTACCGAGGCCAGCTCATCTTTGCATGGCGCGGCGCCGCCAACAATGAAGCTCGCGAGCTGAGACCGAAGTGGGGACTCCTCGTCAGGAACATCAGCAGGCCATCCCAACTCGCTGAGGGGAACCAACTTGGACCAATCAGAGTACGAAATCTCGAACATGCCCCTGATCACCTTCTCTACCTTCACGGGGAAACCAGCAGACCGAGCAACATCAGGAAACGAGGTGGCTGCAAGTCCGCTGGTCCAGTTGTCGCTGTCGGACCCCAGCCCTTTGAGGGAGCCTGCAAGCCACAGCCACAGGTCGCACCAAGCCAGACGCAGCGCCCAGGGGCCCCATGAACACCTCCCCCCCCCCCCCCGAAGACCACAGCTGCGTTGTTTTTCCCAAGGCCCGATCAAGGATGTTGAACATCAAACCACGTGCTGCATCTGCCCTGGTGCTAGCTGTGGAAGCCAGCCTGCATGCCGCCCCTGCCTTCGCACTGATACATGGTCTCGTCAATCACCATCTCGTGCGCGAACTTGAACTTGGAGAACGACGCCATCTTCTTGGCGCTGGTCACCACGTTGATCACTGCCTGCCAGAAGACAGGGTCAACAGGGGCATCTCGTTTCCCACCAGTGCCGCAAGCGCTGCTCTTGCTGCCTCCCAGGCGGGCCAAGTTGTTCACAGCGTTGAAGTAGGCCATGGCAGCTTCGCGGACGCGCGCGTTGTGTGCGAGGGACGCCTGGAGCAAGATGGCGATGGATCGGCTATCGTCCATGGCATCATCAGGGAAGGCCTTGGTGATCGTCTCGAGGGACGGCATGATGTTGCCCAGACAGCCCCGCTCGAACGTGGGCAACACCTTGTGGACCACCTTTGCGACCAGCTTCTGCTTGCTGCCCAAGACGTCCTCGAACGAAGACTGGTCGAGAGCGCCGCCCTCCACTGCCGAATCAAGCGTGTCCACCAGCGGCGAGAAATGGTCCTGAAGAAGAAGCGCAGCCACGAAGTCGAACATATCCAAGGCGTCCCTCACCAACGTCATGCACTCCAAGACCTTCGGCGCCTGCTCCACTGCACGGATGGGCGACCACATGGCAAGGCACTCCGCAACCAGCTTCAATCCCCTCTCAACCACTTCGACCATCGACAATGTTGCCACCACCTCGGTGTTCCTGATGGTGATGCGGTTGGTGTCGTCCGTTGATGTCGTCGGGAATGCAGTCGACGCCATCAACGACATCGCGTCCCTGAGCTTGTCGTCGGCCACGTCGTCCTGGGCATTGCGCTGCATGCTGACTGACACTGCAGACGAGACCTCCTGGCCGATCACTGAATTCTTCATATTCTTGCTGATGCCCCGCAAGCGCTCGGAAGACTGCACGCCGTCCCTGGCCCATCGCACGATCGACGGGCCTGGTGCTGCCAACTCGGGAGAGACCAAGCGCGTCGCCACACACAGCTGGAAGAGAGAACCTATCATCGTGAGCTCGCTCACGAACTTGTGCGACTTGAACTTGTCATCGAACGCATTCAACATCTCGTGCGCGCCCGACAGGTCCGCAGAGATGCCCTTCAGCTTCTGAGTGATGTCGTCCTCAGTGGCTGCACCGTCCTCATCCAAGCCAATGTTGACAAAGTACATGCTAAACAAGTCGTTCATCCACATGTCCAGCGTGTTCGGGTCGGTGGCGTCTGCGACGGCAGCAAACACTGGATCAGCGTTCAGCGCAGTGAGGGTATCAAGGAAGCTCTTTGACTGCTGGCTCAGCTTTAGGTAGAATGCCTTACTGGCGATCAAGATGAAGGACGGGTGCGGCTGTATGTTCATGTCATCACGCAACTTCTTTGCGAGCTCAGGCAACTCTTCTGACATGGCAACCGTGTTGGCGTAGGTCTTAGACTTCTTGAAAGTCCGATGCTGCTTCAAGGCCGTCTTGGCGCCTGTCAGAGCATGTGTCCACCTGTCGATGGCATCGACGAGGTCGCCCCTGGACTCCGAAACGAAAACGATCCTCAGCTGACCCAGCTTGCCCAGCAAGGGCGTGATCATCGACTCCTTCGCGACATCGGACCAGTTGACCTTGGAGGGCAGCTTGCAACCCCGTCTCTAAGCAGGGTCGGGAGGCAGCGTTGGTCCTGGATCTCAGACTGAGCCGAAGGGTGGGGGATGGGCCAGGGTGGAGTGGTTGCTATACTCAGGGGATGAACGTTGCCCCCCCCCTCCTCCTCCTCCAACCTCCTCCATCGCCGTGGTGCCTCCTGCCGCCTGCCTCCCGTCATCCTCCGACGACCAGCCCACCTCCGCCACTTGCCATCCGCATTCGCTCCTCGCATCCCTCCTGGATACACCTCCTCCTGCGTTGTACCACGCGCTCACCTGTGAGAACACCTCGAACGTCTTGATGATCGCGGCGAGCTGCGCATCCAGCTTGGCGACCCTCGGGTCCTGCTCGAGAACCCTGCCTGCGGCGCCAGCGCGGATAATCACTGAGTCCGCCTTGGCGCTCCCGTCGAACGCGGCCCTGTACATGTCGACATCCGCCTCGGAATGGCTGAACATGGGCCTGATGAGCTTCGCGGTCGTGTCGAAACTGCCGAGGTCGATGTGGAAACAACCAACGTCGGAGACGGCCTCGATGGCCGTCTTGAACACGCCGAGGCTGCACTTCCCGTCGTCGCCCCTGATCGTGACCAAGTTCTCGATGTTGTCGCCGTCTGCAATGCATTTGGCCAACGTCTGGATGACGAACGGCTGGGCGGGCATGCGCAAGATGTTGAAGAGGAACTTGATGACCCCCACCCTGGCGTCACCTGCTGTCCTGGAAATGCGGCCGTCACGGATCTCGTAGCGGAGGCTGATGTAGGCAACGAAGTACACGCTCCATTCTGCTCTGCCATCTTCAGTCTGCAGGTGCGCCCTGAAAACGACGAGGGTCTTAGTCTCAGAGAAGAACAGCCTGTAGCACCCGTAACAGTCCTTGCACCACGGGCCGCGCCCGTTGGGGAAGGCCCAAGGCGTCTTCGCACCAGCGTTGAAAAAGCACTTCCCATCCCGAGTCCTGTTGCACCCAGGGCACGGCTGGTCATCACTGTCGGTGCCAGATTTGTCGGGAGACCCGCCATCGCCATCCGCGCCTAGCGCCATCATGTCTGACTGAGTGTCGGCCCCACCGTCGCAACCGCATTCGTCGGACATCCGCAAGCGCCTCCGTTTCGATCGACCGCTTGGGATGGCAGACGCCACATCCGACAATGATTGCTGACTGTCCTCGAACAAGGAGGTGAAGTCACGTGAAGTGCTAGCGGCAGCAACCGAATCAACGCCAGAACAGTTGGACGCCGCGTCGAGCCCGCAACTGGTGCGACGCGGCGCCCGCTTCGGCCTCGCAGGCCAAAGCACTGCTGGCGGTGGCAAGCTCGCTGCGTCGTCCATCGCAGCGGGCTCGGACTCGTGGAGGCCCATTGCCTCTCAAGGCAAGTCGCGCAGCGCGGGAGCTGCGACGACGATGGCGTCCTGATCGCCTGGTCGCCAAAATGGCTCGAATCCGAAATGGTGGCGGGGGGGTGAGGAGGACGAGGAGGGTGACGGCCAGGCATCGAACTTCGGGCCCCCGAAAGGACCATAGGCCACCATAGCTTACAGGGGCCCCAATAAGGCCGCGTCAAAACGGCGAGCATGCACCCCAACGAATCCCCAAGACACCAAGGCTGCCAATGATGGCGCCCGCTGGACCCACAACCCAAGCACCACGCCAACTTACCCACAACCCAGGCCCGACAGTATCCAACGCAACCTTGGCCCGCACCCCGCATCCAAGGGACGGCAGCATACTTGGCAGAAGACAAACCTCTAGTTCGCAGCACCGCTTCGGATCAAGCTTGAGGGCCATGCCGAACCCTCTCACAACATCAAGCCGCCGACAGACCAATGGCGCAGGCACGGAGGCTGGCTGCCGTGGGGTCACCAATCGTGACATCACCCACGCCCCCCTGACACCTAATATCAAGCTGGCGCCGCGTGAAACATGCACTGGCTCACGCCGTTGCGTGATGCTGAAATGGCCCTGGGCCCAGAGTACCACCCCCCGCGCACTTTTCAACAGGCATCCCTTCACCCTTCCCCATCATCTCCTTCTCCTCCTCCGCACCATCATTCCTGACCTCCTCCACTCTTCATCCACCTCCTCCTCCTCCAGTCTGGTCGCCCTATATTTCTGCTCTGCAGCCGTTTGGATCTCTGCGGCCCCGAGAACCATCAGACGGTCCGAATTTTCTGATGCGCAACGGCTCTGATCATGCTATCGGTAGTCTTTGCCATGGGCCTCTTGTCTACGCGGGACAATCAAGCCTAAAGGGGGTGAGGCAACGCAAGATCGCTGGGCGAAGACCCTGGGGGGGGGGAGGAGGAAGCCGACTCGGAGGAGGAGGGGGAGGGGATAACGAGGACACGCGGACGGCGGGAGGATGGAAGGCGAGGAAGGAGGTGGTGGAGGAGGAGGGCTAGGAGGAGGGATGGCGAAGAAGAATGAGGGACACGAGGAGGATGAGGACGACGACGGAGGAGGACGAGGAGGACAAGCTGACAAATACGAAGGGTGAGGGTGGGAAGGAGGGCGACGACGAAGAATGAGGATGACGAATGACGATGGGAAGATGGAAGAGGATGAGGACCGATGGGAGGGGTGGCGACGAAGGCCACGACGATGGGGGGCCATCTCTGGGAATCGCCAACGCCGATTTTATATTACAAAATGCTCCAGGCAAGCAGCGTGCTTTAAATGCGGGCTGCAAGCTTCATGGCCACACGACTGCGGCAAGAACGACGCCGCAAAGCTGGCGTCTGTCGCCAGTCACACGGATCAGGCGAGCAGGCTGATCAAACGGTACAGGCAAACAAGACTGAGCACACTGGGCTGACAAGAGCGTGCCTCACTGTGCACACACGGCAAACTCGGCAGACTGCGATGCTGCCATCTGTCACACTCGGCAATATGAGATGCTGCCGCCTGGTCAATCAACCGTGACCTGGTTCTTGGCCTTGCCCGCCGCCGCGACGGCCTCGGTGCCGACGTCCTTCGTGGAGTCGAGGTCGCCGCTGGCACTGGCGGCGGTCTTGGTGTTGGCACGGGTGCGCGGCTTCTTAGCGGCTGAACTGGTCTGCTTGGCTGCCTTCATGGGGTTGGGTGTCTTGCTCTTGGCGGCGCTGTTGCCGTCCTGGCCCCGCTGCTCCTTCGGGATGCAAGCTGCTGGGTTTGGGGTGTGCTGGGAAGGCCTCGGCACCGAACGAACCGCGCTGCGCTTCTGGGTGCGCTTGCGTTCGAGTTCAGCCGCCTGTGGGCACACAGCCGCCACCATCTGGCAGATCTCGTGCAAGCCCTGCTGGATCTGCATGTCCCTCTTGCGCTGCTCGACCCGCTCCAAGAATTCCCTCCGCTGCTTCTCTTTTTTCTTGCGCTCTGTCTCCGTCCTGCCTCTCAAGCGTGTCGCCATGCGTTCCAGAGCATTGGCTGTGCGCCGCAGCTCGTTGTCTTTGCGCCTGAGCGCAGCACGACACTCTTTCTGTACAGCCTTCGGGTCGGGAGGCGCCATCTCCTTCGGCGCCATCGAAGAGCAAGAGCAAATCTGCGGCAGCGTGAAGAATTGAAACTGGAAGACACGGATCGAAAGCCGAAGCGGAGACTCTGGGCCAAGGCGGCTACAGCGCAAGACACTCAACAGGAACTGGTTGGCGCGGCCATCCAAGGCCGAATAACAAGAGTGCCAAGTGGAGGGAGAAAGGGAGAAACGGGCAGAACGGATGAGGAGGACAAGGATGAGAGATGAGAGGAGGGAGAAAAGAGGAGGACATTGAAGAGATGGAAGAGGGAATAGGGATGACAAGGACAACGAGGAGGGAGGAGGAGAAGGAGGAGACGGCAAACGAAAGAACTGGACTCCTGGGAGCCCTTGGAGCTTTCAACCCCTTGAGCCCTGAAAGGCCATGGCCCCCCATGGGCCCATGTGGAACCTAGGGCCACGCGGACAGGGCCTGCGGGGTTCCGGGCTAGCCCAGAAACCTGCGGGCCCCGCGCGAGAGGTCCTGAACGCCTGGTGGGGCGTCGGGTCCCTGAGCCGCGTTGGCCTCGCGGGGCCGTCGGGCACTTGGCGGCCAGTCGGCTTTAAGCTGGGGAACCCTGGGCCATTGGAGAACGCGCGGGGCCCTGGGAGGCCCTTGGCCCTCTGGAACCTGGAGCCTCCCAGGCAGGGCCTGCGGGGTTCGGGCTAACCCAGAAACCCGCGGGCACCGCCAGAGAGACCCTGAAAGCCTGGCGTGGCCCTGAGCACAATCTGGCCTCGACGGGCCGTCGGGTTTCTGTGTCGGGCCCAACAGAACACCGCTGAAACCAGCGGGCCTCAGATAAAGAGGCCTTGTGGCGTTAGGCACGAACACGCTGGAACCTTATGCGAAACCCTGAAGCCATGCGCGGACATAGGCCCATAGTCACTGGGGGCTTCGCCCTGAGCGCGCGCACATACACTGAAACCCTAAGCCGCTGAACTCTACGGCAGCCCCGCTGATGCTCAATACGGCGACCATTCGCCACAATGGAGCACCCAAAGGTCGAACGCACATGGTTTAATCACACATGCCCTTAGATATAATATGGAATATATGCTGCACGTAGTAGTCGACTCTCAGGGGAAACGCGCATCGACGGCCAAGGGGGCACGGTGGTGGAGTAATCGGCAAACAAAAAACTAGCACCCTATACCCAAGCATATTTCACAACGGCGCATCATTGATAAACTAAATTTTTGTTTAAAAAAGCCATTGCGCCACTCTCGTTCAAAGCTGCATGGGCGGAAATGCGGAGGCGGCGGGGAGCAAGCGAGGTTGCGCGCGCGCGTGGCGCGGGGGAGTGGTTGGCGGGGGATGGGCAGTGCGCGCGGGTGCAATGGGGACATATTGGTGCGGTGCGGTTTGTTGTTGTTGGTGGTTGTCGTAGGCGCGGGCGGACAAGGCAAGTGCGCATGAACGGGGGTGGAGTAGGTGGGCGGCTGCATGGGGTGACGCGTGCGGGCGCAGCGGCGGGTAAACTTAGCAGCGCGTGTCCATGGTCGCGAACTAGAAACCAGCGGCGCGCGGCGCGCTGCACACTCATGCCACGGAACAAAGGCCATGCACGGCACCAAACGCACGCGCGAGCGCACCCATCCGCAACATGCATGGCCGACGGCCAACAACCAAACGCCCCACGTTGAACGCACCATGGGTAGCGCGTCGGGCGCGCGGTCCGGTTTTTCACGACGGTTCGACGAGCGCTTTGGCAGTATCATGCGTATTGCACTGCAAGCGTCACCAGGCAACGGCAGAGGGCACAACTATAGAGCTTGGGGTTGGTGCCGCCAAGGGCAACGCCACCAACATCCAGTCGAGCGCATCAGCTTCGCTACCGCAGCCCAGACGCTGGGCTGCGACTTGCGGGCGATGAATGGATATGAGCTGAAACCGCGGCCCGCGGGCTTCGTGCCCATGAAGTGGGCCGCGCGCGGTTCAGTGGTAAGAGCGAACCGCCCTCCGATGGTTGCACGAGGGCCGAGGCCCCGAACTAGTGCTCGCGCGCCATCGCCGCTGCATTCTCCAGTCCGCGCGCGCGACATTGCCCATGCGCGACCACAAACCGCCACCGCCGCTTGCAACTCAAACCTGCCACCACATCCGCCGCACTGCCTACCACATCTTTGGCCCCACCACCACAGCGCGCCCGACCGCAGCCATCGCCATCGCAGCCTGCCCAGTTCATACCCCATCACAAACAACTTACACATGCACGCGCGCGCGCCGCTCACCCGCCGATTCCCATCCACTCGCCACGGCCAAGTTCCTACCCACGGCCTATCGCCAACACCCCTCACCTTCCTCCTCGGCAAAACCCGCGCTCACCACTCCTTTAAACGCGCGCGCACCGCCCGCGGCTGCAACTCCCTGCAAACAGCCGCCACCATCCACCACGAACCAGCGCGCGACACGCGCGCAACCGCGCGCGCAACGCGCACCGCAACCCGCCGCCCCCCACCCACATGCGCGCCCGCCGTTGCCACCACACCCAAAACCTTCGCCCGCGCCCACTACGCCCACCTCCCATCCCTCCACACCCACCCCACCCACCACCAACACCCCGCCCGCCCACCCACCCTCACCAACCACTGCCGCCGCCGCCGCCGCGCGCCCGCCCGTGCCCCGCCACCGCGGCCGCCACCGCCACTTGCTGTCGCGCGCTTTGAGATGCGCGCCGCGAGATGTGCGTCAAGTCGCATGGCTCAGCGCATGCGGCGCGGAGTGCAGGGCGACAGCGTTGAGCCTTCTGTTACGGATGCACGGCGCGCGGCGTCTGCCGCAAACGCAACGCCGATGCCGCGAAAGGCGACATCGGCGGCCGAGGGCGCGCGTAGCGCGGCAGAGCGGCTTGCAAGGCATCCAGT